TTCCTCTAGTTTTATACCTGTGGAGTGTCAGAAAAATATTGCCATGAGATTTGGTGAGTCTGGAGATGTGTCCACAGGCATTGAGGGAATGTTCTGCTTTCTTAGCAACTCCTCCTTTCCCAGCTCTCACTGGCCAGGGAGGCAGCTCTAAATACTTCAGCCTCCACCAGCTGAAAAGAAATGCACCTCAAAAGAACATTTTTTAATGTGTTTTAAAAGTATTAGGGAATATTAGGTAAGGCAGAGCTTTCCATTTCAGAAGGGCAGGCTGGCCTCACAGGTAGTTTAAATCCTAGAGAAGGAATATTTGCGGAAGTGGAGGATTCTGGATGAATTTATCTCCTGGTCAAGGATGCTACAACACAGCACAACCAAATCAAAAATTAAATGAAAAATTCAAAATTTAAGAAGCAAAACCCACCTGTCATGACAGAGCTGGAGGCCACTTTGCTCATGATGTGCCTCGTGGTGGCAGTGGCGGGGGTGAAGGTGACGGTGACGCCGGTGGCATTGAAGGCAGGGTCATCCAGGTGGCCCAGGGGGCTGTAGGGCACCTCGGGGTAGTGGATTTGCAGCGTGAACGAGGACACGATGAACACCAGGGGCAGGAAGAGCAGGGACAGAATCCACTCCTGCAGCAGGGAGAGCGGGGAGGGGAATTTCATGGCAGTATGAAAACGTGTTCTTTGTGGGTTTAAAATGGGAGAAAGAAGAATTCAGTCTTTGTGGGATTGAAATATAAACATGAAGAACTCAGTCTTTTCTCAGGTGTGGATGATGAGACTGTCTGCATTGTGCCCAGCACCTGCTCCAGGAGCCCATCTGTGCCCTCATTTGTCACAAACCAGACATAAATATCACCATTTAAAACAAAATTCAACTCTCTAGGTGTTCATCACCAGCCAGGCTTCTCAAAAGTACTTCAAGGTCTAATTTTACCCAAAGAAGTTGGTGTCTAGGGGCAGGCAGGGATTGGCCACTCTCAGTAGTTAGCTATTATTTTGGTTTTGGTTTTAATTTTTCCTTACCTGAAAGCTCTGCATCTTCATCCTCCACTTGATCAGGACATTTTTCCACAAGAGAATTTTAGTTTGCTGGAATACACTTATATTCCTCTGGAGTGTCTTCATCTTTGAACCTAGAGACAATTTCTTTTTGAAAATTGCTTTCAAATACAACAAAAGCCAAACCAGCAGTAACTGGTTTTATTTGCACAGTCCTTGCAGATGTGCAGTGAAACTTTTTCTCCCTTTCTACAGCAAGAATGAGCTGGAGAAACTCAGATGTTGTGTGCTGAGCACAACCACCCCCGCAGCGCAGGGTCCAAGAGACCTCATCACCCTCACACTCTCCAAACCTCACAGCTCAGCTGCAAACCCTGATGAAAATCAGAATTTCAGGCTTCCATGCTGCAGCATGGGGAGGTTTGGGAGGAGTTATTGATGAAATAGAAAAGGGACTATCACATTACATGATCTAATCAGCTTGGGTGGGCTCCATATCCAACAAACAACAACGATATAGTCAATTAAAATCCCTAAAATCCTTCTACTTGTAATTTTAATGCGCTGTAGGCTCAACACCAAGAAGTGTTGAGCAACTCCTGGCTGTGGTGTGTGCTGAGCTCTTGTGGAAAACAGCATCTGCTGAAGGAAATTGGGAGCCATGAGGGAACAAGTTCTCAGAAGTGCGTGGGAGAGATGTCACTGGCAGGTTTTTCATGAAAAATGAGGGAAAACCGAGTGGCCACGAGCATGCACTGATGTGTTACTCCAACAGACAGGGCAGAATCCTCAAAATGACATGGTCAAAGCAAAGCAAGGATTATTTTGCCTGGTTAATGCTGGTGGGAGGCTGAAAGAAGTGAAGCGTAAAGGTGCCTGTCAGATTTTTGCATCCGTAAAATAACCGTGAGGACCTCTAATGAGCAAAATGATTCAGTACCTCCATGTAAAAGAGCTCTGCTCATGTGGCCAAACTGCTCTGCTGTCACATCTGGAGCTAAAATCTGCTTTTAAACAAAACCCTGATCTTCTCTAAGTGATTCTCAGGTAGAAAAAGCAGAGCTTTTACAGACCTAACCCCTTCGAGCCTTCCTGCCATAGGGAAGGAAGGTTCACCTTGTCCTGTTCCCCAGGGGGACAATGCCTCATGGTGCTGACAGGCAAGGCAGAGTTTATCTCCCTCCAAATATTTATATTCAGCCCTCAGGGGCTGGATGTGTGATGAGACAGCAGGCACTGGACTGCTGGAAAAGCAGCAGCTGCAGCAAACGGGCTGCAAACACTCGCTCTGGCTCCTGCCATCATCTCTAAACAGATTCTTCCCTCACTGATGATCTCACTAAACCCAGGTGCATAAAATTTTGAATTTAGCCTGTGTCATAACCTCTAGACTTCCCTGAACAAAGTGTGGATTTAAACTTGCTGTTGTTTGGTTGCTTTTTCACCCCACAGGAGCGAGGGGTGGGATGTCGAGTGTCGCCTGTGCCCGTCTCCCCCTGGGACACGGGGTTTGTGTCACAGGTTGTTGTAAGGGTCCCACGGAGTAACCTGGGCAGGCTGGCACCCCCAGGAGATCCTGGCTGGGGTGGGGAGGTGGCACACCAGGAGCTCATCCTGGACATCCCACATGTCCCTCCTGTGGTCACCCCTTCGTGCCCACCCACCCTGGCCGTGCTGCTGCAGAGTTTGGGCAGCTGGGGGAAACGTGGTACAATGCATTTCTTTGTTCCTCTGGTATTTCAGGTGGAATCTTTTTACAGCATAAGATGGACAGAACTTTTAAATTCAAACTTCAGCTTACACTGGAGGTAGGGAATGAAATCTGCTCCTCTTATGTCCTGGATCACTTGAAATACTGAGCTGAAGCTGCTGCTTGTAGTGCTGAGAAACACTGGAAATAATCCTCTGCCATAAGCTGAGCTCCATTTGTGTGTTATTTCATGTCAAAGTAAGCTTAAAAAGACTTTATTGCCTTTAAACACCCCTGAGATTAATCACAAGCTTGACTCAACCTGTTAGAAAGATGCCCCGTACACGTTTGTACCCTCACCCAGCATTATTAACAGCATTATAATTTACTGGGGGGGTTCATACCTTCAAAATAACATCTTTTTATTTAGGCTTAGGAAGAATGCTTAAGCCTTACCTCAACAGGAAGTTTTGAGAGGAATCCAGAGCTTGTCCTGGAGGAGCAGAGGTGCTGAGCCTCTCTGGGATGGACTGGATGACTGGAGATTCCCGGCTCTCCCTCGTCGTTTCTTTCCCTCAGGCACTTCTGCAAAAGACATTCCTCACACCACAGCTTCTTTTTTCCCTGGCTTCCTTCCCCTTCCTCCCTGGCAGAGCTCCAGCTTTATTTGTGTCAGAAAAAGCAAACAGAGCACATCGCTGTTGAGGCTCTGGAGCGCACTGTCCGAAAAGTTAACTCGGGACATTCTTGAGTCGTGGCCAAGAGAAGAAAAACAAGTCCCACAAGGAACCACACAAAAATCCTTTCTCTGGCAAACTCCGTTGTGTTTCTCAGTGCAGCAAGAGAGGCTTGAAGTCAACAGCGATGTCACAGCACAGGCAGGGGAGGACAAAAGGTGACAAACTCTTCCCGTGGCACCAGCCACAGAGCAGGAGCAGCGGAGGAGTGCTGCCTCCTGCACAGCAACAGCTTTTCCAGCTAAAAAACATCCTGGAAAGGTTGTAATGAACTTCTCCTGACTAACTCTGCACTTGTAAAGGGGATGGGTTTGGTTTCATCCCAGGCTCTGGGGCTCGGTCGCCCATAGCAGCGTCCCCAGGCTGATCACGGCTGAGGGACCAGGGGTGGGAGGGAGCACGAGCAACTGGGACAGAGGCTGGGCTTGGAGAAGTGGAGCAGCTGGATTTGCTTCCTTCTGCTCTGCCCAGCAGGAAAAAAACCACCCCTAAGATTGAAATCCCATGCAGATGTTTCAGAGCGAGGCAGACAGCAGAGGTGCAGTGTCAGGGCACGGGGTGAAGTTAAAACCTGTCCCCAGAACATCTCCTGGGTGTCCAAACCTTCTCCTCCCCTCCTTGCAAAAGGATAAAAAACCAACCCTGCTGTGAAGAGGTGGAGATGCCAGGTGAATCTCAGAGTCTCCTCCTGCCCTTCTCCCGATGTTGGGAGATCCCTGTGGAAAGCAGAACTCCAGGGCTGTGGTGCCAGCTCTGGGCACCTCTCCTGGCAGGAGCAGCCCATCCCTGAGCCACGGCAGCCACCTGCTGGCCCCTGCTCGCCCACATCCCCTCCTGCACTGCCAGACACGAGCCCTGCCTGCCCAAAGCACTGCGGAATTCTCCCTGCCCGTGTCCCAGTCCAGCATCAGCCACACCACCCAGGACAGGTGAGGAGGAGGAGGGTGCTGCTGCTGTGTCCATCCCACATGGATGGCACTGCCCTGGCCTCCTGGCAGGGCAGCAGGGCACAAGGGGAAACACGTGAATGCAGGGAGTTCCTGTTTTTTTTAACTGATTCTTTTATTTTTATATATATATATATATGTATTTTTTTAATTTGTTTTTTAACTCTCTCCATGGCAGGCAGATATCCAAGAGGAGATGCTGATCTGCTCAGCCAGGGTCAGGGTGCTGTGCTTGCCCCCATCAGTTGTCCCATCCCAGTTGTCCCCACAGGGGTGGGTGCTGGTGAGGATTCCCCCCTCTCTTCCCAGTGACCAAAGCAAGGCTCAGCCTGCTTCCTTCCTCAGCACTATTTTGGGCCAAAGCACACCTTATTTGGACTCTAAATAACAACTGGGTTTTACAGATGATGATATAAGAGCTGCCAGTTTTATTTATATTTTTCCAGCCACTGCCGAGTCCTTTCCTCTGTCCCTGGCCCCAGTGGTGGGGATCAGATGAGCCAAGTTGGCCTGAGCTGGAACTCACAGCAGGAGCAGCTTTTTGGGTCAAAATACAACCCTGTACCCCTCTCTCCCAGGAATCAGCACCAGCCAGAGGGGGGATGAGTGTCAGGCATCAATCTGTCAAAGGATAAAGGCTTTATTTATTAAAATAACAACTCTTTATTTCTCTGTGAGGCGCAGTGCCTGCGGGGCTGCGCGTGGCTAGCGGAGCGCTGGGGCTGCAGCTGGTCACAGCTCTCAGTGCCACTGATGAAATCCAGAAACACTGATGAAATCCATGGGATATTTCCCACCGTGGCTCCAAGACTCAGGGGTGAAGGGGTCTCTGCTCCACAGCCCCGTTGGATGCCACCTCCAGGTCGTGCTCTTCTGCATCCCTGGTGAGGTCTACAAACACCTGCAGCGGGACGCAGAGGGACCCAGCCCATCACTGCCATGGACTGGCTGGATTTGTGCTGGTCACAGGTTATTTCTTCCTTTCCCACAGGCAGTTCCCAACCTGGAGCTCCTGCATCAGCCTACCTGGTGCAAAGTGTTCAGTGACAAGCTGTACTCCTCAAGCTTGAAATTCCGTTTAGCTGCGGAGGGATGGAGAAAGGATCCTTAAAAACCAAATCCACATAAACAGTTTGAAAGTGATTTCCTTATTAAACTGATGGTTTCTTTTTACCTGCTTCTAGCCTGGAGAAAGACCTGGACAGAGGTAGTGCATCTGCCACTGGAATCCTGTAGGTGAGCAAGGAAGAAGTCCTGAAAAAGTAATAAAAAAAAGAATTATTATTATTATTATTATCTTGTGACTCAGCATTGCAGTTTGGGGGGGTTTGTAGGATAACTGTGCTCCAGGTAAATCACTGAGCAAGGTCAGTAGGAGGAAAAGAGCATCCCAGCCCAAATCCAGGCTGTGGGCAGCCCATGGACACTGACCTTTCCTGCCGAGCTGCGCGAGGGAAGAGGTTCAGGATTTCGGAGTGGAGAGCTTCGCTTTGCCCCACATCTGTCATTTTGAGTTCTAGGTGGTAACTTGTGCCAAACTTACTTTTGAGATCCTCAGGGGAACCGATGTACCTGCAGAGAGGGGAAAACATTGCTCAGACCACCATAAACAGCAAATAAATCAACGGCTCGAGAGGGCTGAGGAGTAGCTGTACATCCTCCTCTTCATCAGCTCTTTATACCACGCTATCTCCTCACAAAACTGATTGTCACACACGTGGGAGCATCCAAACCAGTATTTTCCATTAGATTAAGAATGAAAAAAACCCAACTAACCCCAACAAGCCCTCCAGACTAAGCCCCCTGCCCGCGGTGCCCACCGGAGCCGGCCGGCCAGCAGGATGGCCACGCGGTCACACATCGCCGCCGCCTCCTCCAGGGACTGCGTGCACAGGATGGCTGCCCTCTCCTTGCTCCTCATGGAGTCCTGGATCATCCTCCTGGGAACACAGGGACCACAGTCATCCCTGGGAACAGCCACGGAAGATCTCCTGGTCTGTGTCTCCCTCCCTAGAAACAACTTTTTAAAGAATTAAAAAGCGGACAACTCAAAGACTTCAGTTTTCTCCTTTAAGGCTGACCCGGATGCCACTGCTACGTTACAATTTGTCACACCAGCATCCCTCCAAATTTTGCTCTGATGGTGTAAACTGGTGATGAAAAGCTAAAGCAAACACAGCACTGAAGGGAAGACTTCCTACAAGCTTTTTCTCTCGCACTGAAGAAAACAGAGATTTGTGTCTTTTGTACCGAAAGCAGGGGTTCAGCTGGTGTCTAGGGAGATTTTTTGGGGTGTATTAATGACCATTATATTACATTTATTACATTATATTATAATGTAATATTATATCATAATTATAATAGAATATCACAAATAGAATATCACAAATAGAATATCATAAATAGAATAGAATATCACAAATAGAATATCATAAATAGAATAGAATATCATAAATAGAATATAATATAGTATAGTATAATATAGTATAGTATAATATAGTATAGTATAAGAAGTATAGTATAATATAGTATAGTATAAGTATAATAAGTATAGTATAATAAGTATAATAAGTATAGTATAATATAGCATAGTATAATAAGTATAATAAGTATAATATAATATAATATAATATAATATAATATAATATAATATAATATAATATAATATAATAATATAATATATTGCAGCTGCCAGCTGAGTGAGGAGCTCAGCAAGTTCTCCCCATCCCCTGGGCATCAGGAAAAAGGGAACAGACAGATCTACTCTGCCACCAGGGCAGAGCCTCTGCCTGCCCAGGAGTTCCTGCGATGGGGAGGGCGAGGCCCATCCCGTTAAAGCTGTCCCAGGTTCCCGTTCCTGCAGGCCAGGGCTGCTCACCGCACGCGGCGCTGCCCTTTGGGGTCCACGCTCACCGAGGGCTCATCCCAAAGCATCACTGTCGGCTCTCCCAGGATGCTCAGAGCAAATGATAGCTGGAATGGGAACAACAAGAGGTCAGGGCTCCTTTATCCTTTAAACCTGGTGCACCTTAATCCCCGTGAGGTTTTCAAAGCTCTGGATTCCAAAGTTGAAGAGGGACAGGGATTTAAAAAATCCCACTTCAGGTGTTCTCAGTTAATGTTTTGATCTCTCAAAATCAGATTTTCCCAGAACTCCTGAGCCTGCCAAAGATGTGAAAGTGGTTTTCCATCCCATTTGCTGGCAGATGTAGGTGGTGGGGCGTGAAGAGGTGACTGTAAATCCAATTTGTGGTTAGCACTTATTAAACACAGGTGCAGGAGAGGGGGAAAAGAGGGTGAGGAGGAGGGGGGGAACCCTGCCAGGCTGGATTCAAAAGGTATTGATGGAAATGAATGATGCCTGGCACCCACTCAGCCAAAGGTTTCCTCTGCACCACATCCAAGGGTTTGGTTACATATCAAGACAAATCCAACACATACCTTTCTGGCTTCTCCAGCAGATAAACTCCTTGCTGGGGTCTTGAAATGCTTCAGGAGATCCAAAGCCCTTCCTAAGCTGTGGGGAATGGAAAGGGAAAAGCCCCAAGTGACCATCTTGGTGTGCATGGTCAGGGGGTGCTGAGGAACCAGACACTGGCATGCTTTGGCTGATATCCATCCCCTTGGGCTACCTGGTGATTCTGCTCCTAACTTGGATGGTAAATTGAGGAATTTTTGTAGAAATTCAAGGCAGGAAGTGCAGCTAATGAGAGAAGTGAGTTACCCATGCAACTGGCCATGAGCTGGGACAAGTTTGATTTTGTTTTTCTGAATTTTCCCAGATAAACTTGGGCTGCAACCTTCATTGGCAAGGGACTGAGAACAGTAAAAAACAGCAGACCTCATCAGGAGAAGCCACCTCTCTGAGAGGCACTGGGGATCTCTTAACCCACAAGCCAGTTTTGTTAACAGAGAAACCCTTCCCTTTGAAATCACAGATGGATTGGGCTGGAAGGCTCTGGAGGGAGGGAGAACCAACAGATGAGATCACTTGGATTCCTACCAGCTGATGGCAAGAGCAGCATCTTCGTCCCTCATCCCTCTGACGGCAGCGAAGGCCTCCAGGTGCTGCAGCACCGTCAGGTGTGGCCAGAGCGGGTCCTGCTGTGGGCACCAGCCCAGGGCCCCCGGGCACAGTGGGGCTCCATCCCGGCCCCTGAGCAGCACCTGCACAGACACACAGCTCTGGACTGGTGGTTTGGGTTGGAGGTGCCTTAGGGCTCATCCCATCCCACTGCCATGGGCAGGCAGGGATGCTGGATGAGAGAGATCAGGCAGGGAGCAGTGTCTGTGTGAAAATAGGGCACAGGACTTGCCCACACTGGCCTGAGAAATCATAAGGAGGAATCCAAACAGTGCTGAGAGAAGGAAAACAACCTCTGCAGATGTTGTTTGTTCCTTGTTTTCCTGCAAGGAACAGTCAAGGGATGTTGTTCCTGACTGCCCAGGGTTGGTGATGTGTTGGTTTCAAGACCAATGAGAGGTTTTACCTTTCAGACCTGCTCAGAACTGTCTATAAAAGAAGATCTGGAAGAATAAAACTCGCTCTCTTGTGCAAACAAAGCCAGAGAGTCTGTGTTGTCTCTTTGCTGTTCCTAACACAGTGTGACAGGCAGGGACGTCTTCCACCAGCCCAGGTTGCCCCAAGCCCCATCCAAGTGGCCAAGCAGTTGTGTGGTCAGTAGCCACTTGGGAGTGCTCACCATGAGCAGGGTGATCCTGCTCCATCTGCCTTTTCACTCTGGATAGTATTACCAACATCAGCCTGTCTTTTCCTAGCAATACTTTTCTATTTCCAGCCTTCAGTCCCAAATCTGTAAGAGCAATGGCATTTCTCCTCCCCCAGCACATGTCATTAATCATTCTGCACGTAATTAAGTGATGGATTGTTACTGGCCCAACACTGCTCACATTCGTTTTCAATTTCCTGGTTTTGCAAGGCTGTTTGTGGAGAGTGTTATTTTTGGGGTTTTTTCAGATGTCAACAATTCTTACAGGGTTTGTGACATTTCACAATGGGTTTCCAATGCCAGCTGAAGATTTCCTGTTGCTCAAACTCTTAAATCTGTAACACTGACTTTGATGAACACTAGAATTTATGCTTGGCATAAATCAACGCTTTTTCTCAGCTCTGTAAATACCCAGGACACACAAATTGTACATAAACATCCATAAATCCCCTGATTGTAGGGAGATGTTGCTGGATTGCCTTATCACATCCTTAGTTTTTAAAGACATCAAGGTCATCTCTGCAGCTGCTCCAAGGAGCCACCTACCTCCCCAGCAGTCACTGCTACACCTCCAGAAATCATGTTTAGAGTTGTGCTTTTCCCAGCTCCGTTGGGTCCTAACAGACCTAACACTTCTCCTGGAACAAATATGCAACAACTGTTAATAATATTTACTGGTAATATGACTTCTCCCCTGTGTTCTATGTAAAATTTAAAAGTACAGGAGGAGAAAGGGTTGTTTCATCCCCATAAATTAAAACTTTGAATGCAGGAGCCCAGAGCGTCAGGTCTGAATGCCTACAGGAAAATTCTAACAGAAATATTACCTCCAAATGAGACCTTCCTTATATATTCTAGTCATTTGTATTATAGGGAGTGCAGCAAAGTACTTGAACCTTTTTTAACACCAAAAGAGAGGTTTTTGACAGCAAGTTTCTTCTTTTTCTTAAAGATGGAAGTGGCTGTCCTGGCTTCGAATTCCTTGCGCAAACTGTTGACAACAACCAAGTCCTGTGAAGAGACAGAGAGGGAAAAGAAATTCTCCTTCTACCCCATGAGAGAGATGATCTGTTCTTGCCATTAGGCAGGGCTTTGAAAAAAATAAAATTTCTAAATTTAAAAGCCATGAAACAGAGGATAAAAAAAAAAAAAAAGGAAAATATGCAGAATGGGAATAAAAATAACGGTGCCAGCTGAAGTCCTTGTGGTGCCAGGGTGAGATCACATCAGATCTGAGTGCATGAGCTGAGGAAGCAGAGGCAGCTGAGAGAACGAAAATGACGGAGAATGGAAAGCAAAACAATGCAGAGGGCTGGGTTTGTGTTCACCTCCTCCTGCTGCAGCGAGGCCATCGCGCTCCGCACCCTGTCCCTCTCCGCCTGCACTTCGGGGGGTTCCTCTGCAGGGAGCTCCTTGTTCTGCTGGGTGGCCGCTCTTCTCTGCTGGATCCTACCAGTGGAGAGGGGAGATGCTTTCACTGGGAATCACTTCCATAAAGGTTTGTGTTTAAAAGTTTTTTTTTCCCCAGGGCAGTGCCAACAAAACCCAAAATTTATCTGTCCTCGGGGAGCTCAGAGACTCAGAGCTGGAAGGGACACATGAGGATCACTGAGCTGTTCCACAGTGGCATGGCTGAGAAAACAAAGGCCAGTTTTAGCTTTTCCTTCATCTTTAATTATTGGCTGGTTCCCTGCTCCACACATGCCAATCATCTGTTCGAGGAGAATTAAAATACAAGGGGCAGGTTTGCAGTTTGGGCATTTAACTCCCACACTTGGTAGTGTTTGATAATTAAATACTTCTTGTAAGTCTTCTCCCACCTGACTTAGGTGGTTGGTGACAGATAAGTAGAGAGCAATTAGAAAACCCCAACCTGATGAAGATTTAGGGAAAGTCTCCATCCTGTTTGGAGCAATACTGATACATTTGAAAAGGAGTTAAATTTTTTTCTGTTTAAATTTGGAACTATAATTTAGCCCCCTGTAGGGAAATGTCCTGAAATCTCAGCTATGAACCTTAAAAAAAAAAGCTGAAATCACAATCTTTTATCCTCTCAAGGACACTAAAAAAAATTAAAACTACAAGCTTTATCCAAATGTTGGAAAACATTTTTCACATATGGTGTTTTTCCCTCCTGCTGTCAGGGTCCTGCCTGGCTGTGCAGCTCCAAGCCCACCCTGGGATGACTGTGGCTCACGAGGAATCCCTGGGACACACCTGAAGACGGGATCAAATCCTGGGACTGCTTCTCCATATCTCATCTCCAAACAGCGCAGGAGGAAGGCGAAAATCACACAGTGGATGTACGGCTGAAACACAGACGTTACTTGGGTTTGTATGGAGACAAGGTAGCAACACACTCCATTAATTATAATTATAAAGGGGTGCAGTAACCTGTCTCATTAATTTCAGCTGTTGAAAAGGTCTGCAAGGGGAAGGAGCTGAATGGATGCTTTGCAGATATTCCTGTCTGATATGCAGATTATTTGCTAAAGCCTGGATTTCTTACAGCAGCTCCAGCCCAGATAACCCACCTGCACCCCAAGAAACATCCTATGGGATGTTTCTCATCCTCATCTCGTTCTTCTGCAGAAGCAACATTGGGATGATCAGTTTATTAATAATATCTCTGCCTTCTACATGAGCTCCACTCAACCCCCTGCCTCGTATCCAAAATCCACGTGAGGCACAAGCCCAGGATTGCTTGGAATTTGCCTCCCCTGCCAACACTTAATGGGAGATTTTGACTACAAACCCCATCCTTTCTCTATGGGGAGAGTTTACAAGCCCAGTGCATCAGTGACAGGCATCTCTGCCCAAGCAACCACCTCCTAGTCCCTCCTTACCGCAAAGACAGGCATGTAGATGTAATTCCATGTCTCAAAAATTGTGTAATCATTATATATGAGGAAATTCTGGAAGAAAAGGAGACCAGTCAATTAGAAATTTGATCAATCAGGGCAGTGTCAGAACAAGTGTGGAAGGTAGGGATGTTTAGCTTTTCTTCAGGATGGGATAAAGGAGCTTTCATCTGCCTTTCTTTGGTCCTTACTGCCTCAAGGGGTTGTGGCTTCCTTGGATACAGTAATTTAGAGGCCTCAAATCAGCCAGGTTAAGTCAACCTTTTCTATCATTGCTTCTCTCTTCCCAGTTCTTTGGCTTTCTCCCAGCTCACTTCCTCCTTCCTGGATTTCCCACTCCACCACCTTCCCCTCCCGTGCCACCCTTGCTGCCATAAAACAGTCACTGCAACAGCTCTTAGTGACCAAACAAACCAAAAATACCCAAATCAAACAAAGGATTCACAGGTCAGACCTTGGCTTCTTCTCTCACCCAAGACCCTGGAACTTCTCTTTTCCTGTTTTCTTTTCCCACTATCTCTCTTTGGGAATTTGAGAAGTGCCTCTTGCTTTGCCATTTTGCAGCATTAGGATAATTATTGAATTTAGCAGGAAGTGTTTTGCTTACTAGTCCAGAGAACATGATCCAGCCCACAGGTGGAAACACAGGAATCAGCATACAGATGTAGTAAAGTGCTTCATTATGGTCACTGTTCATAAAAGCAGCATAATTCACCTGGAATAAAGCAAAAAAGCTATTTCCAGTATTAATGTATTGTTGCTAAAAAAAACCGGGTTATTTGTCAGTGATCCAGGTTATTCTGCTGAATATTGATATAAATTGAAATTTATTGATGTAAATTTGAAATGAAACCCCAAGTGGCAAGGTGTGTAAATCAAACATTTCAGAGTGAAGATGCTCCTCACTTACCAAAATGAAGGTTAAGGACCAAACGAAGCGATTGCTCCGTCCCATGCGGAATTTGAAGGCCATTAAATAAACCAAGAGGACGAGAGATATTCCATAACCAAAGAGGCAAATGAGCTGGGGAGAGAGAGAGAGAAACATCAGTGACAAGGAGGTGCCTGTGGATACATGAAAACCTGCCCAGAGAAACCCACTGCAAATAAACCCTCTAAAGCCAAACCCTGGGGTGAAATGACGCAGAGCTCACCAGGGTCAGCACGGCTTTGGCCTCCAAGGGGCAGATGCGGGTGAAGAGCACCAGGAGCCCAAACATGAGGCACATCAGGCTCCAGAAGAACGGGATGTCCACCAGGGCCTGCCCACACCAGTAGGCCGAGGGGAAGAGCCCCGCGAGCCGCAGCTGAGAGCGAGCCTGGAGCTGCAAAAGCGACAAAAACGCCAAAAGGGAAAGTCTAAAACATCATTCCTGCTCCTCCTCCATTCCTGTGCTCCTCCCTTCCTCTCCTTCCTGAGCACTTCCTAGCACAACCACTCTTTGAAACCACGTCATTCCTAAAAGGAAAAAAATTAAATCATTCCAATCTCAAAAGCTTTATTAACATGTGAATTATTGTCAGCCCCAGCTGTTTCCCTGGGATGCAGAGAAATGTTGGGGTCAGGGGCACAGAAAATAACCCCTTATCTGTGGGGCCTGGCTCTGATACCCAGGAGAGCACTGGGTTTAGCACAACACCATGGAGACAGCTTTAAACTTAAGCAGAAAAACTGGGAATTTGAGTGTGTAAGTAGATAGAATTTTCTTAAGTCACTGGGTGAGAAATTTAGAGTTTAAGGTTTAAGGTATATTAGAGAATAAAGAGGCAACATGGAAGATTTAGGGTGTTGTTCCTTTCTCCTTCTTCCTTCTTCATCTTCTTCTTCCAAGGGTTTTGGGGTAATTATGAGTGATTGGATAGAGAATGCTGCAGTGCAGCACACAGGTCATTGGGTCACTAAGAAAAATAGCTCACTTGGCGTTTGTTAATTGGACAAATAGACATAGAAAGGACCTTGAAGAGGTTCTTCCTCAGCCATTTTGCACCTCTCTACCTTAGTGTAGCTCCTTGTACTCTGTGCATATGTAATATTGATAAGGAAAGAATAAACAACCAAGTCTGAACATGAGGAGACAGCCTCTCCCTCATCAATCTCGGTCCTGGGGAAAAGAACCCAACCACCAGTGTGACTGAGAAGTGCACTCTGGTACTCATCTGACTGATTTTCTTCTATCATCCTACCGAGAAATCACAGAATCACAAAATTATTTGGGTTGGAAGGGACCTTAATGATCAACCTCCACTATCCCAGGGTGCTCCAAGCCCCATCCAGCCTGGTTTTGGGCACTTCCAGGGATGCAGGGGCAGCCCCAGCTGCTCTGGGCACCCTGTACCTCCCCACTGGTGCTCTGCAGATATTTTGCATCACATTCACTCCTGGTGAACCACCTGCAGCTCCTGCTCTTTACCTTGTAATCCTCCACGGTGCCCATGGCAAAGAGAGGAGGCAAACCAGCAGCCAGAACCAGCAGGTAGGTGAATAAGCCGAAAAAAATGTAATTCTTCAGCTCTGTGTTTTCTCCCTGTGGGGAGAAATTCAGCCCTCCGTAATTGATGCTGCCCAGGGAAAGTCTGGGCAGGCTCATGAGGTGGTTGAACAAGTGAGCAAGAGCACTAATGGTAAGTCAGTTGTGTTTAACAACAGAAAACAAGGCAAAAAGAACAAAATAATGATGTTTAGCATCCTAGAATTTGCAGAAAGAATTTGGAATACTGCAAATTTTTGAGGATGGAGGACAACTTGTTGTTGCTGAGGAGAGGTGGGGTTTGCAAAGATCACTGTTGTGTTCCCACCATATTGATCAGCATGGCCTGGTTGGAAAAAACCTTAAAGATCATCCCATTCCACCCTGCCATGCCAGGGACACCTTCCCCTGTCCCAGGCTGCTCCAAGCCCTGTCCAGCCTGGCCTTGGGCACTGCCAGGGATCCAGGGGCAGCCACAATTGCTCTGGGCACCCTGTGCCACCCTGCTCACCGTCACAGGGAACAATTCCTCCCCAAAATCCCATCTAAACCCATCTGGCTCAGTGGGAAGCCACTTTTTCCCCTTTGTTCTGTCACTCCAGGCCCTTGTCTCTCCCCACCTTTCCATCAGAGACTGGAAGGCCACAATTAGGTCCCCCTGAAACTTCTCTTTCCCGAGAACAATCCCAACTCCCTCCAAACAGCACAAACGTAAATATCTCACGGTACCAAAACCCCGCAGAACCCTGCAGGAAAAATCATCTCCAAACACCCCCAGGAACCACCAGCAGCGGGACCACCGCCCTCAGCCCTGGGATCGTGCTCCCCCAGGCAGGTTTCCAAGCTGTGCAGTCCTCACCCCAGCTATCCCAGCTGGTTTTGGCCCTCACCGTGTAGAAGAGCTGGCTCCAGACGCGGAAGCGCGCGGTGGAATGGAAGAGCCTGAGGAAGGTGTTGCTGAGGATGTTCATCAGCATTGGGAAGCAGTTGATGGGCTCTGGGCTGCACATGACCGTGAACTGGTGGCTCTGAGGACGGCAGAACAAAAGGCCTTCATGTCCCTGGGAGGTGTGAGCAGCACCCTGGACATGGTATTCTGAACCTGGGAGAATTTCAAGCTCTCAGGAATGGATTGTTCCCACGGGAAAGTCTTTGGGGAACTTTTTCTTCTCTCTAGGATTGTTGTGTAAATAAGGTTTTACTTTCCCAAAACAAGACACAGATGTTCTGAGAGTGTTTTCTCTCTTGTCCCACCAATGGGATGAAGGAAGTGTTGTTCCTTCTACCAATTAGGGTGACCTGGATCGGAGCACCTTATAAAAGGGTTGAGAAAAACCCAAAATAAAGGCTTTTCTGCCTCATGCAAAAACCTCCAGCTGCTGTGATTCTCAGAACCTTCGCTCTATACTTTGTGTCCTCTAGCAACACAGCACTACCAAAACGATTTATTATGCCCCAAAAAATCAAATTCTCCCTTTTCTGGTGTGTTTATTTCTCTCCTTTAAATACTTCTCAGAAAATCCTGTTGATGTACAGGATGAAAGAAGGAAAGAATATCCCTCACCTTGCCTTCCAGGGATATTTTTATTGCTCCATTATAATCTGGAAGGCTTGTGATGTTTTTCTCCTGGGTTATTTCTGGGGTTATGTTTTGAGTCTTCAAAGCAGCAATGAAATCCTCGATTTCTGATCCTGAAATCAAGTCAAGGACAGAAATTAGAGTCATCAGAGGGTTTTTTTTTCTTTAAACAGAAACAGTTTCATATAAACAAGTTCCTACTTGCAAAACAGAGGTATGTTTAAGCCCCCAAATACTGAGATTCTAAGCCAATACATATTTCCTATATATTTTCTATTCATTTAAACTGGTTAAACAAAATACATGTTTCAAACTTAGTTTATTTATTGCTTTTTATTTTTTTTAACTTGCCTGGTTCATTACTCTTTTACTTATCTATATCATCACTAGAACTGCATTTGCTTGTGCTCAAAAGAAAACACCTCTCACTGCACATTCCTTTATATATTTGTGCCATTTGCAAGGTTGCTCTGTCAATTATAATAAAATTCACAGATTTTGGTGCAGAAAGTCACATTCACATGTTGTTCCTCACCTGTGTCATTGAAGATGAGGAGGTTTGTAGACCTATTTTGAATTTTCTCTTTTGTGGGAAGAAAATACGGGCTAGAGGTGATTTCCCAGCTGCTGGAGTTGTGCCACAGATGAAACAGGATTAAAACCATCAGTGGTGGAAGGATAAATGTTCCAAATAACAGCAATCTAGATGGCAAAACAGACCATAAGCGAGGCCAGGGGAAATCCACCAATAAGTAATTGTGTGATTTATGGGGAAATTTAAAACTTAAGCAAGCCAGAGTTCTCCCACTAAGTCCAGGCTGCCCCTATTTTTGCAGCTTTGAAACATTTCCCACCTAATTCTCGGTTTCCAAACATCCCCAGCAGTATTTCAGCTGCTCCAGGGTAGGTGGGAGCCCCTGTACTTACACGCTCCTGAGGAATTTTGCGTCGTGCCTCAGTCTTAGCAGGCGGATTCTCAGCACAGCACACACTTGCTGCCTCCAGAGCATCATCCCACTCATGGCCAGCATCCCCTGCTTGGAGAACCCCGGGAGGTTCTGGTCCCTCTCCTCGAGGTCTCCATCTCCTGTGTGTTCACCAAGAGAAATGCCATTACCACAAAGAGCCTTCACAGGACACCTTTTAATCCCAAACAGTCATCCAGGATCTTCTGCTCTGAACACAGGGATGATTTTATTTTATTTTATTTTATTTTATTTTATTTTATTTTATTTTATTTTATTTTATTTTATTTTATTTTATTTTATTTTATTTTATTTTATTTTATTTTATTTTATTTTATTTTATTTTATTTTATTTTATTTTATTTTATTTTATTTTATTTTATTTTATTTTATTTTATTTTATTTTATTTTATTTTATTTTATTTTATTTTATTTTATTTTATTTTATTTTATTTTATTTTATTTTATTTTATCTTATTTTATTTTATTTTATTTTATTTTATTTTATTTTATTTTATTTTATTTTATTTTATTTTATTTTTTAGAGAGAGAAGTCAGAAGGACATAGAAAAAGGGCCATAATTCATCCAGAAGAGAATTTTTATTTTATTGTATTTTACTTTATTTTATTTTATTTTACTTTAGTTTATTTTTTTTTACTTTATTTTATTTTTTAGAGCGAAAAGTAAGAAGAGCAGAGAAAAGGGGCCATAATTTATTCAGAATAGAATTCATATAGGTGAATTCAGACTGTCTGGTGTGGCAACACATCCAAGATCTTCACTGCCTTTGGGAAATGCCTTCTGCAAACTTTATCCCTTCCCACCTGCTGGTCTGGGCTGTACAACCCTCCAAAGGTAAATATTAACATGAGAATTAATTCTTGAGCTTAAAAGCCTTTAGGAAGCCAAGCTGGATTTATTTGGGCTTCTCCAAGATGTTATTCCTCACTGAAGGCAAATGGGATACAACTGCCACTCTGAGCCTATCAATATTCACATTTAGCAGAAATTCATTAGAAATTCAATTAAAACACGTTTAGATGGAACTTTAGGGACAGCACGCTTGAAAAACGGAGTCAACGCTTTACCTTCTGGATCGATGGCTTCCTCACCCTGCAGCCTCAGGAAAACATCTTCCAGGGTTGTCCTGGTCACCTCGTAGTGAACAACCCCCTGCAAGAGGCTGCTCTCGAGGTGGCTGAACAGACCTGGAGAAACAACCAGAGTCAGCCGGGGCTGGGGCTGAGCACGAGCTCAGCCAGCTCACACCGTGTGTTCCAGCAGTCACCACTGATCCCCATAACCTGGCCATCAATTCCTGTCATCTCAAATTCATCACAAATTTATCGTGTTTTTTACAGCTGGAAAATTCAGTGGTTTTGGTTTTCATGGATGTAGTGCTTCAGATTCGTCAAAAAAATCTCAATGTTTTGAGTTTTTGTGGTTTTGGGTTTTTGTGTTTTTGGGTTTTTGGGTTTTTTGGGTTTTTGGGTTTTTGTGTTTTTGTGTTTTTGGGTTTTTGTGTTTTTGTGTTTTTGTGTTTTTGGGTTTTTGGGTTTTTTTGGGTTTTTGGGGTTTTTGGGGTTTTGGGTTTTTGTGTTTTTTGGGTTTTGGGTTTTTGGGTTTTTGAGTTTTAGTTTGGTCAAATTTGAGTTTAAGCATATTGAAAACAGAAGAGAGTCAGTGGAATTTAGTTTGTAGATTAGTTAGTGGATTTTCTTTTTTTTAATCTTCATTATTAATATTAGCACGTGCTTTCTGTGAAGCTGATATTTATGCAGCTTCCTAACATCACACATTATGGACCAAAGAATATAATTATTCCCTTCACTGTAACTTTGATTTCTGCTTTTCCCACCAGTGGATTTCCCTTTAAAACCCTGGCACAGGCATGGGTTTCTTACCTGGGAAGCTGTCGGTGTTTTCCAGAGGCAGCCTGAAACACAGCTCATCCCTCCTCTGTCCCTGGAGCACAGCATCAGGGATGTACTGTCTGACCACGGACGACACAAGCTCTGGGTCACACAGGTCATTTATCTGCATCCTGTTACAAAAAAAAATAGAAATGTTAAGTTGTTATAATGTTAAATAAGGAAAAAAAAAAAGGTGCATCATCTGGTTGGAGTCCAGAGGCAGATTCTTCCTTAGGGAAACCTCACGAAACTGGGCAGAACTTCAGTGGAATGTTTACAGCCATCTGCAGTGCCCTTGCTTTTGCTACGCATGCACAAAATGGTTGAGGTGAAGAATTATGATCCTGGAATCTTGGAAATTTGGGAATCAAGCTCCTTTTGCATCAAAGCCATCTCATGTCAGGCAGATATCAGCTCACCCTGTCCCCTTTCAGCTGCACAGGAGGTGCAAAGTCACCTCAGCTGCGTGCTCAGAGCTTTCCGGGTCGGGTTCCAAGGAAAGGCAGCTTGTTGTCCAAAGCAGGGAAATTTTGGCAGCCTTTAAGTTCTTCTAAAATGAATTGTCAGGATTTCTATTACTGTCTATATAAACTCAACCAAAACCACAGATTCTACAAGAAAATACTCACGAAAATGAGAAGCTTTTCACAAAAGGAACAATGACCAAAAGCAAAGGTTTTACCTTAAGTGATAGCCAATTCCCCACTTTCTCTTCAAGTAGAGAGATGAGCCAACGCTCTGTAATCTCCCACAGGAGAGGAAAGCTTTCCGATCTAAGGAGGAGGGAATACAAAGGATTTAGGGGGATTTACAAGACTGACCTCACTCTGCTCCTTCTGAACCCAGCAGACATTTTCATAATAAATTGAGAGGAGTAAAACCAGGCCAGAACTGAAGATCATTTTTTTTTTGTTATTTGTAAGCCAATGCCTTCCTCCTCAACATCATGGTTAATTATTTTAGTTCTGCATTCTTGTGGGCTCGTGGAGAATTTCCCACGCGGCACAGGAATAATACGGAAATGGGAGTAGCAGCAAGTGAAATCCAGGAAAATAAACCACGTTTTACTGACACAGAGACAAATCCAGATAACGTGGAAGTGCTTTATCCTGGAGAAGACCGAATTATCCTGCAGAGGAGCAGGAGCAAAGCCTTGGAGGGACACATCAGCCTGGTGTCAGGGCTGCTTGGGTGGTCGCTGTCAGGCAAAACGCGTGCGGCGAGCACCAGCTGTGCCACAGTGGGACCCACAGCTGGGCTGTGCCCTGGGAACCCCCGTTTTGCACCTCCTGAGGTGCCCCCCTGGGCTCACCTGCCTGAGCATCGGCCTCCTCCATGGCCTGGGTGGTGACGAGTGTCACGCGCCCGGCGCGGCGCTCCCGCAGCAGGCTCCAGACGTGGTGCCTGGAGCAGGGATCCAGCCCTGCCGTGGGCTCGTCCAGGAGCAGCACCTGCAGAGGACAACGGGATCAGAGCTCCCCTCGCCCCAGCCGTGCTCACGTGGCTCAGTTCCACGCTTGCACCGCTTCGTTTCGCGCTGCTGGTGGCCTCGCTCGGAGAGGAGAAGGCATCCTCAAGTATCGCTCGTTTTTATTGCTCTTCCTCCTGCTGCAGTATCGCCACCCCTCTAATTAAAAATACAGTTCTGATTGAACCAGATTCCCCAGTCCTTCCAATAAGGGAATTAGCTTGGAATGGCAGGGGAAAATCACAACAGGCTCTGTGGCAAGTTAAAATGCAAAGCTATGTCCCAAAACAATAAATGTTGTGTGTGTGCATAAACGCGACCGGTCCCTACCTGGGGATCCCCTAAAATTGCGATTCCAAGGGACAGTTTTCGTTTTTGTCCCCCACTCAGGGCATCAGCACAAACATTCTGAGCGTCGGTGAGGTCCATCATGACGAGAACTTTCTGCACCTTGGGAGCACACCAAGACAAGAGTCACATTTCCAAAGCACTGGGCACCTTTGAGTTCCTAAATGGCTACAAATATCACAACTTCCAAGATTTCAAACTCACCTACTCTTAATGGATTTGCTTGGAGCTAAATAAGACAAATCTGAGTTTTAACTCATCATGTGAGGATAAGAAAGAATTGGAAAACCAATCTGCCACTAAATTAGGTTTGTTCTCATTTCCAGAGAATAAGATGTAGGTGAACATCTTTTATAAATAAAGCACAAAGTGCCCAAGATGCCATAAAAGAGAAGTCAGTGGCTGAGAAGCACATACCAACCTCTTCATCTACTCCCTTCCACTGAATCCCCTTGATGTGAGCAAAAATTCTCAGGTTTTCCTTCACTGTTAAGGCTTCAAAATGCAAATTAATTTGGGGGCAAATCCCAATCCTTTCCTGCATTCCTTCCATATTCCACATTTCAGAAGCACTGTAGTTGTAGATCATGGCAGAGCCTGCACAGGGGGGTGGATGAAACATTTGACATTAATTCCAGCACCATGGATGTTTCTCAAGTGTTAAATTAAAAATTCAAAAAAACAAAGAAGCAAAATAACCCTATAGCCCAAAGATTTAACACCTTTCAAAAGTATTTCAGAGCACCAAAACCCTCCCTTAAAAATAAAAACGGATTTCCTGTAGGTTTGCAGCTGATGGAAAGCAGCAGGTCATCCAGATGGACAAATGACCATGGTGCACACCTGAGGGATCCATCATCCCTGGAGCTCGTGTTGAAGCAAAAATCTGCACTGACAACAACCCAGCAGGAATTACTGAGGGAAAACTTGGAGGTTTTTTCCACATTTCCCCCTTACACTTGAAGAAACCAACAGCTGCCAGCATCCAGGCCCATCATCATCATCATCATCATCATCATCATCATCATCATCATCATCATCATCATCATCATCATCTCACCTGCTGAAGGCTTGGAAAATCCACTGAGCACGTTTAACAGAGCAGTTTTCCCAGCCCCACTGTGACCCAGCAGTGCTGTGATCTGGCCTTCATAGATATTTAAGGACAAACCTGGAATAAAAACAGGACAACAGTGGGATGGAAGCACCTGAGCAGTGGACTTGGACCTGTAGCTGTTGCCACAGGTGCCAGAAGTGACATTTCTTTAGAAGCTGAGAGGCAAAACCAGATCCAAAAGCACAGGTTGGTTCTTCAGGAGTTAGGCCTGAGCTTAGTAAGGAACCATGTCTTGATTGAATTGAGGGAATAAATGTATTATCTTCAATATTTAAAAAATTTTGACTTCAGTTTTCTATGAGGTTTGTAACATTTTATTTTAGTGTGGCTCAAGAAGAGTCCTGAGGAAGAGAAGAGCCCAGAGTTTTTCCAACATGTGAAAATTTCAAGACTTATTTCAAAGCAGACAGACTTTTCTACCTCATTTTCTTTTTTTAAAAAATACTTTGCCTTTCTGTGGGTTGCTCAAGTTGTGTTTGTTTAGTTTGTTTCCACTCAATCTAGACCTTCGAGGCCATATTGATATTTTTAATATTTTGGGTTTTTTTCATTTTTGATATTTTTGCTTGGAGTCCTTATTAAACAAAGACATTTAATACCCCATGACTTCACTATGTGCCAAATATTTGCATTGGCAAGTGCTTGGAGAGCACAGCTCAGGCAGGGACAGCAGATTTGGCCATAAAATCCCAAGTTTGCCCAAAATAGTTTACATTTGAAAGGGAGATTTGAGAGGGGATTTCTAGAGTGGTTCATCACTGCAAAAACACAGCTTTTAAGGAGACTTCTGCTGTTGCAAAAAATAATAAACAGTGATTTTCCTGGAGGGAAGAGGGAGATAACAACCTGGTAGATATTTGCCAGTAATTTACCCTGGCAGAAATAACCATTGCACAATATAATTGAACAGGCCCAGAGGCAGAATTCGGTACAGCCAGTACATTTCAAACCACTTTGGGCTCTTATCTAGTGAAAAATGAATAAAAGAATCACAAAGCCTCTCCTTACCCTTTAAAGCTTCGGTGCTCTTGTTGTTCTTCTTGTATATTTTTTTAATATTGTTTAGTCTAAAGAAAAGCAAGCAAGCCATTACTTATTGAATCACAATTTGGGGCTGTTTCCTCTGCCTCAAATTAACCTTTGAAAACTTTTGGGGGAGTATTTTCCAACCTCCTCCTCCTCAAACTGGTCCTGGGGAAGGAATCACTTGATGTAATTAATTTCTGGATTTAAAGCAGGATTAGTCCTGTACTTTCCTAAAAGCTGTTTAAAAGGTCTCAAAGATAAACTTGAGGAATGTTTAGAGAGTGAAGGAGGAGGCTCTGGGGAATAACACATGGATATTTAATTAAGGGTGATGATCTAGCTGACATTTGGGCAGATTTCTGTTTGATTTCTGGTAACAACCAGTGGGCAGCACCAGCCACGAGCCCACCCAGCCCTGCAAGGATGGGCAGTGCAGCATCCTCAATTTTCTTTCTCTGTGCTTGAAGATGATGGGGAAGAGGAACAGACTTGCTGCTGAGAGGAAGTTGGAGGATGCCCCACATCCAAAAAAATCCAAACAAATGTTCAAATCCAGCTCTGGAGCGGGATGAAGCACTGAACAACCCCTCCCTTCCACATGTTTGAGTGACTCTTATCCACAATGCCGGCCTGACAGCCAGCAGTGCAGTGTGGCTGTGCTCTCTAGAGCCAAACAATCCCTGCAGAGCTGTGTTTTTCACACCAAAAGCAGCTCCTCACCTGATGGCTTCCTTGCCTTCGAAGCCCGGCGGCATCGGCTCAGTGTCACCGCCGAGAACGGGGTCGTGGCTGCTGCCAGCTCTCACCCCCACGGACCCACTGCTGCCCCTGAGCCAGTAGGAGGGTCTCAGGAAGAAGGCAGGAGGATGTGGGACCCCGTACTTGCCTGAATCAGAGACAGAGAAGGTGAAACAGCAACCCCAAAACCTCCGTCCGTCAGCTCTGAAACGCCCAGCCCAGCCACCGCTCCCCCGGCAGCTGCAGAGCGTGAACTGCCAGCAGAGAGAAAGAGCCCACAAATTCTGCAGTTTAAGTTGTCCACATCTGTAAATGCACGTGGGGAATCATCACAGCACATTTACAACCTTTTTGGTTCCAAAAGCTGGGGTCAAGTCCTACAACACCCTTCCAACGCCCGTGGGAGCAGGATCTCAGTGCCTCACCGCAGGGCTGCAGCTTTCTCTCCTCTCACATCCCCTTTGGGAACTTTCCCTCCACAAAGCAGGGAATTATAGAAGAAAAAGCAATGAATTTTTAATTTTCCCCCTCACATTTTCACTCACCAGGCAAAACCTTATCGAAGTAGATGGCTAGCAGGAAATACAAGACACTGTCCAAGCTCAGGATGAGGTACAGCTTACAAAAAGGGTGCAGCTCTGGGGTAAATGCTGGTCCGTATTTTTCTAGTTTTACCATCTAGGGGCGGGAAAAAATAAAAAAGCACAGTTCAGATGCAAAATTTCCTTCAGGCAGAAATACTTTGTGCCAGCTCCTGCTGTGTCATCACAGCCATTTTCACCAAAAACCCAATTCGCTCGTGACCACGACGCTGTTTCTAAGGAGGCAAAGGGTTTCTCCTGACCACGAGCACCAGAAATGCCTCAGTAAGCTGAATTTCAAACCATGCAGAAGTTACAGAGTGATGCACGTGCTGCTTGCAAAGGCAGCACTTCCAGCCCTCGCAGTTCCTGCCGCTCTTGGTACCCACCAGCCACATCCCACCTCTCATTTTGTGGAGACTTCAATTTGCTGCAGGAAAATCCGTGATGCAGTTGAGTGTCCAACCATCTCTGCCACGATTTAGCACTGATTTTTTTGGGGGGGGAAACTGGAATAAAGAAAAAACTGGGTATCGGGAAAATCACGGGAATCGGGGGAAAAAACGGGAATAAAGAAAAAAACCCTGGAAATCGGGAAAAAAAACCCGGGAAAGAAAACAACAAACCAGGAATAAAGAAAAAAAAGGGAACGATGGGAGAAACGGAAAAAAGGTACTGGGATCAAAGGGAACAGGGTCAAAGGTCCGGAGGGTGCTGAGCGCCTTCCAGAACGTGCAGGATGAGTGCCGAGGGTGCTGAGCACCCAGGGAAGGTGCTGAGAACCCTCGGGATGGTGCTGAGCA